CACACACACACACACACACACACACACACACACACACACACACACACCACACAATTTTACAGCTCTGGAGGTTAGAAGTTTGAATTGGGTCTCACTGTGCCAAAATCAAGAGCTTGTTCCCTTCTGAAGGCCCTGGGAGAGAATGTTTCTCTGCTTTTTCCAGCTTCTAGAATTCCTTGTGTATTCATTGGCCAGTGGCCCCACATCACTGCAACCTCTGCTTCCAGCGTCACATCTCCTCTGTCCCTCCTACCTCCCTCTTCTAAGGACCCTTGTATTTACATTGGGCCTGATAATCCCCGTCTCCAGATTCTTAATCACACCTGCAAAGTCCCATTTGCCTTGAAACACTCACAGATTCTGGGGATTATGATGTGGACGTTGAAACTTGGGGCCATTATTTTGCCCACCGTACATGACAAACGGTGGTTGTTAGCTTGTTCCTTATGAGACAAGCAGCCCTCACCCCCTGCTGTCTGTGATTATATCTCGTCTCAAAGATGAGAATTGCTCCGGAGAAAGTCCTGTTTGTCTGATTTCGTTAGTCTCATTTTCCCAACATGATTCCAGATCTACTGAGCTACAGACACAGCTCATCTTTGGTCAGGATTATTGACCACTAGATATTTTGTTATTTTAATTTTGTTCCTCTGAGAGGTGGGGAGTATTTTGTGGTTTGTATCTATCTGAACAAAGAGGTAATGCACTGATGTTAGGAGATGTATGCCTCTTGAACTTTGAAATATGCTGTGCATCGTATACACCATGGAATACTACACAGCCATAAAAAATGATGCGTTCATGTCCTTTGTAGGGACTTGGATGAATCTGGAAACCATCATTCTCAGCAAACTGACACAAGAACAGAAAACCAAACACTGCATATACTCACTCATAGGTGGGTGCTGAAAAATGAGAACATGTGGACTCTGGGAGAGGAGCATCACACGCTGGGGGTGGTAGGGGGCAGCTAGGGGAGGGACAGCGGGATCGGGGGGAGGATGGGAAGGGATAACATGGGGAGAAATGCCAGATATAGATGAAGGGAGCATAGAGGCAGCAAACCACCTGGTTATGTATGTGCCTATGCAACAGCCCTGCATGATCTGCACATGTACCCCAGAACCTAAAGTAAAATTTAAAATAATAATAAATAAATAAAAGAAATATGCTGTGCATATTGCTGGTTATTGTATGTCATGGCATGATCTTTTTTTGACTAAAAAAAAGACTTCTTCCAAATTATGATTGATGTACCCTGGACCAGTGTTTCTCAAATGGGGATGGCAATTTCTGGGATGTTTTTGTTGTGACAATTGCGGGGGTGTGGCGGGGGGAAGGTGTTACAGCATGTAGTGGGTAGAGACCAGGGATGCTGCCAAACATCATACAATGCTCAGGGGACCACCCCCACAACAGAGAGTTACCATGCCTGGCCCACACTAATCTTTTACTTTATTTAGGTATAGTTTGTTCTTCCTTACTAGCTTCTTTTTTTGAGATGGAGTCTTGTTCTGCCACCCAGGCTGGAGTGCAGTGGCATGATCTTGGCTCACTGCAACCTCCGCCTCCTGGGTTCAAGTGGTCCTCCTGCCTCAACCTCCCAAGTAGCTGGGATTACAGATATGCGCCACCACACACAGCTAATTTTTGTATTTTTAGTAGAGATGGGGTTTTGCCGTGTTGGCCAGGCTGGTCTTGAACTCCTGACCTCATGATCTGCCCACCTCGGCCTCCCAAAGTGCTGGGATTACAGGTGTGAGCCACTGCGCCTGGCCTCTTTACTAGCTTCTTATGGTAGAATATTAGGTCAATGGTTTGAGACCTTTCTCCTTTTCTGATACAGGCATTTGAAGCTGTACATTTTCCTCTAAGCATTGCCTTAGTTGCATCCAATAAATTTTGATGTTCATCACACCTGTAATCCCAGCACTTTAGGAGGCCAAGATAGGAGGATTGCTTGAAGCCAGGAGTTTGAGACCAGCTTGGGCAATATAGTAAGACTCTGTCTCTACAAAATAAAAATAAATAAAAATTAAAAAGTAGATTAGTATGAAGTCATTGAAATAAACAGCAGAAGACTAAAAGATGCACCTATTTTTTAAAAAAACTGCTTTTCAAGACATGGACAGTATAAGATATAAATAGAAACAACAAAGTTAAGAAGCAGCAGGGGATGAAGTTAAAAGTTTTTATTAATTTTCTCTGTTTTTGCAATCAGTTTAGTTGTCATTAGTTTGAAAATAATGGATTATTGGCCAGGCACAGTGGCTTACACATGTAATCCCAGCACTTTGGGAGGCCAAGGTGTGTGGATCACCTGAGGTCAGGAGTTTGAGACCAGCCTGGCCAACATGGTGAAACCCTGTCTCTACTAAAAATACAAAAATGAGCCAGGTGTGGTGGTGCACACCTGTAATCCCAGCTATACGAGGCTGAGGCAGGAGAATCACTTGAACCTGGGAGGTGGAGGTTGCAGTGAGCCGAGATCATGCCATTGCACTCCAGCCTGGGCTACAAGAGCGAGACCATGTCTCAAATACATAATAGTAATAATAGTAATGGATTATAAGATGTAATTTGCAAGCCTCATGGTAACCCCAAATCAAAAAACCTACAAAAGGCAAAATGGCAGTACTAAGTCCTAACTTATCAATACTAACGTTGACTGTAAATGAACTAAACTCTCTAGTCAAAAGACAAAGAGTGGCCGAATGGGTTAAAAAAAAAACCTAGTGATCTGTTGCCTACAAGAAGCACACTTCACCTATAAAGACACACATAGACTGAAAATAAAGAGATAGAAAAAGATATTGCATACAAATTGAAACCAAAAGTGACCAGGAGTAGCTTATACTTAGACAAAATAGATTTCAAGACAAAACCTATAAAAAGAACCAAGGTCATTATATCATGATAAAGGGGTCAATTCAGCAAGGGAATATAACATTTATAAATATATATATACCTACCCAACACTGGAGCACCCAGGTATATAAAGGAGATATTATTAGAAGTAAAGAGAGAGGCAGATTTCAGTACAATAATAGCTAGAGATTTCAATATCCCACTTGCAGCGCTGGACAGATCATCCAGACAGAAAGCCAACAAGGAAACATTGAACTTAATCTGCTCTGTAGACCAGATGCACCTAACAGATATTTACAAAAGACTTCATTTGGCTGCTGCGGAATACACGTTCTTCTCCTCAGCATAGGGCTCATTCTCAAGGATGGACCATATGTTGGATCACAAAACAAGTCTTTAAAAATTTTTTTTTTAATTGAAATTATATCAGGTATTTTCTCTGACCACATTGAAATCAAACTAGAAATAATAACGAGGAACTTTGGAAACTCTACAAACACATGGAAATTAGTATGCTCCTGAATGACCAGTGGGCCAATGTAGAAATTAAGGAAGTTTTAAAAATTTCTGGAAACAAATGATTGGAAACAACATATCAAAACCAATGTGATACAATGAAAGCAGTACTAAGAAAGTTTATACCAATAAGGACCTACATCAAAGGGAAGAACATCAAATAACCGAATGATTCATCTTAAAGACCTAGGAAAACAAGAGCAAACCAAATCCCAAATTAGTAGAAAACAAAGAATAAAGGTCAGAGCAGAAATAGGTTAAATTGAAACAGACCAAAAAACACAAAAGATCAATGAAATGAAAATTTGTTTTTTCGAAAAAAATAAAATAGACAAACCTTTAGCCAGACTAAGAAAAATAAAAAAGATCCAAATAAATAAAATCAAATGAGAAAGGAGACATAACTAAGACCAATAAATGCAAAGGATCATTAATTACTACCAGAAGCAACTATATATTTATTTCCAATAAATTGGAAAACCTAGAAGAAATGGATAAATTCTTAGACACATACAACGTACCAAAATGCAACCATGAACAAATCTGAAACCTGAACAGACCAGTAACAATAATGAGATTGAAGCTGTAATAAGAAGTCTCCTATCACTTCTTGGCCTTTCGGCTAAGATCCTAGCAAAGAAAAGCCTGGGACCCATTGACTTCACTGCTGAATTTTACTAAGCATTTAAAGAACCAATACTAGTCTTATTCAATCTATTCAAAAAAATAGAGGAGGGAGGAAAATTTCCAATATCATTCTACGAGGCCTGTATTATCTTGATACCAAAACCAGACAAAGACGCATCAAAAAAAGAAAACTGCTGACTAGTATCCCTGATAAACAAAAATCCTCAACAAAAATACCAGCATACCGAATTCAGTAA